CACCACTGTGCTCGCCAGCCATGAGCCCGGCCTCTGGCTGAGTGGCACTCCCCTGTAGGAGCACACTGACCATGAGGGGACAGCTCCTGCATTGAGTGTCTGCCCCCTGGTGGTCAGTGCACATCATAGTGACTGGACATTCTGGTTGTTCCGCTGTAATGGTCGCTTATGCTTTTATTGTATAGATGGAACTACCTGATAGACAATGTGCCCCCCTGAGGGGTCCTGGATTGCAAGAGGGTGCAGGCCAGGCTGAAGGACCCCACCGGTGCATGATCAGGGCCGGGGAGGGATGCAGGAAGTTGGCCAGCTGGGGAGGGATCGCTGGAGGACTCCAGGGCATGTCCGGCCCATCTAGCTCAGTCCCGATCGGCTGGACCCTAGCAGCAAGCTAACCTACCAGTTGGAGCATCTACCCCCGGTGGTCAGTGCACGTCATAGCAACTGGTCAACTGGTTGACTGCCTGCCCCTTGGTGGTCAGTGCATGTCATAGCTAGCAGTTGAGTGGCCTTAGCATATCATTAGCATATTATGCTTTGATTGGTTGAACTGACGACCGGACCACTGGACACTTAGCATATTAGGCTTTTATTATATAGGATACAGCCAAGAATCCCTCACACCTCCACCCCCCCTCCAGCTGGGAGCTACTTTCTCTACTGGGAGGAGCTGCATGGATTTCCCAATAAATGTTGGATATCTTTGCACTGAAACAGCTCTGGGAAAATAAGGCCAGCCCAGGGCCACCACTGACTGGTAATGTCAGGTTCTAGAGTCTGGAAACTGTGACCTGCAATAGCCAAGATTTGCCTGCCCAGTGCATCTCTCCTCTCCTGTCCCTGTGGTCCTGAGAACCAGATTAATCCATCAGCTTTAACAGTCCGGGGACATGCTGTCATGTGTGAAGGGAAGGCCCTCAGCTGTTTGCCCAGAAACAGGGATGAGTTGATCAGATAGCCATGGAAGTCATAGGGTCACGGAAGGGCAGCCCAGAGACAGCCCTAAGACATTCATTCATTGAGCAACTCCTGCTTGAGCTCTCACGAATGAATAAGTCCTGGTTCCTGACCCAGACATCATCTGCCTTGAGCAGAAATGAGGACAAATAATACATTATGATGACAATATGAATGTTAAGTGCAAGGTGCTCAGGAGGCCCAAGTATTGGGACATTAACTAGACACACTACAGGTGGGGCAAGAGTCTGGGGTCCTGTGTGAGGAGAAATGAGCAGGCTTGTTAGGGAAACAATGTCAGCTTGGGTGGGAGCCATTGAATGAGCCCAATCTGGCTCAGGGGCCAGCCTAACCTTGGACCAGGGAGTTGTTTGCTCACATCTCAAGTGTTTGACCGCAGTGTCAGCTCCTGGGTTGTGTTTTTGTTTTTCAGACAGCAGACAAAGTTTACCGAATGGAAAGCAAACCTCGGGGATACTGTGTGATCTTTAATAATTATGATTTTAGCAAAGCACGGGAGAAGGTGCCCAAACTTCGCAAAATTAAGGATAGGACTGGAACAGACTTGGATGCAGGTACAGTAGAATCCAAAAGAGATGTAAAATATTTCTAACTAGAAGCTCCGTGCACAAAATTCATGCACTGGTGGTGGTGGGGGGTCCCTTCAACCCGGCCTGCGCCCTCTCACAGTCTGGGACCCCTCACTCCTTACTGCCCGCCTGCTCGCTGCTTCTTACTGATGTCGCAGAGGCGGGAGAGGCTCCTGCCACCGCCACTGTGCTCGCCAGCTATGAGCCCAGCTTCTGGCTGAGCAGGGGAGCACATTGACCACCAGGGGGCAGCTCCTGCATTGAGCATCTGCCTCCTGGTGGTCAGTGTGCATCATAGTGACCGGTCGTTCTGCTGTTTGGTTGATTTGCATATTAGGCTTTTATTATATAGGATACTTATGTTTTTATCAAAAGGGGCGAACAAAAGCTATACCAACAGAGCTGTATGTTTCAGAAAAATGACTATAACCACATTTTCCTGTGGAGGTGAAGGACAGTCTTAGGTATTTGCTAGTTTTCTGCTTTTCTTTTTTTTAACTTAATTTTAAAAATTAAAACAATGTAGGAGAAAACCAAGATGGTGGCATAGGTAAACACCGGAAATTGCTGCCTCACACAACCACTTCAAAAAAACAATTAAAAGACAAAACG